TCCCCTCTCTGACCCACCCTCTCTCTCTCTCTCTCTCTCTCTCTCTCTCTCTCTCTCTCTCTCTCTCTCTCTCTCTCTCTCTCTCTCTCTCTATCGATCTATCTATCTATCAATCTCTCTCTCTCTCTCTCTCTCTCTCTCTCTCTCTCTCTCTCTCTCTCTCTCTCTCTCTCTCTCTCTATCGATCTATCTATCTATCAATCTATCTATCTCTCTCTCTCTCACCCCTTCATATTCTCTCTCTCTCTCTCTCTCTCTCTCTCTCTCTCTCTCTCTCTCTCTCTCTCTCTCTCTCTCTCTCTCTCTCTCTTTCTCTCTACCTATCTCCCTCTCTCTCTTCATCTATCTATCTATCTATCTATTTCATTCTCCCTTCCCCTCTTTCACTCTCCTCCCTCCCCCTTCTCTCTCATCTCCCCCTCTCCACTCTCTCTCTCCCCTCTCTGACCCACCCTCTCTCTCTCTCTCTCTTTCTATCGATCTATCTATCTATCAATCTATCTCTCTCTCTCTCACCCCTTCATATTTACCCGAAGAACAGCGTGGGCGAGCACTTGAAGAAGGGGAGGGATAGGGGTGTGTGGGGGGGTGGGGGTGATAGGGGGGATAGGGGTGAGGAATCGGAATTGGTTCGGTCTCTTGAAGAATCCTTAATGACGTTTATTAAAGTCTTTCAATAAAACTGTTTTTGAAAAGGTACTTGTGACTTAAAACTGTATTTTTGCTTGTTTTTTCGTTTATTCGTGTGTGATTGAATTCTTTCATTTATTATGATGTCCATCGGTTTGTTTATCTGTTCGTGGATCTATATCTCAGTTGATATGTTTATAGATTTGCAAAGTAATATATCAATTTATCTATCTCTTATCTGTTTTTAATGTCTTACTCTCTGTATTTATATTTGTGCGATCTAACTGTGTCTGTCTACATATCTATCTATATTTACATCTAAACATGCACATCATAGGCCATGTGTAATTTCATGTTTATCTATAACTATCTACCTACTCACCTGTCTGTGTGTCTTTCTATCAATTTGTGTCCATTTCTCTCTCTCTTTCTCTCTCTCTCTCTCTCTCTCTCTCTCTCTCTCTCTCTCTCTCTCTCTCTCTCTCTCTCTCTCTCTCTCTCTCTCTCTCTCTCTCTCACGTGTGTACATGTATATATATACATATATACATGTACACACACACACACACATGTGTATATACATATATATATATATATATATATATATATATATATATATATATATATATATATATATATATATATATATAGTGAGTTCATATTATCACTATCAGCTTGATTAATTCCGGTAACAAGATATAAAGTATATGTAGCAGTCTGCTGATGCCTAATTTTGAATGATGGATTGTATCCAATAACAAGAATTTAAAGGTAATTACGGCTCATTAAGAAGTAGTTACCAAGATTATTGAGAGAGAAGGTAGACAAGGAAGGAGGGAGAGAAGGGGGCGGAAGGGAAGGAGATACGGAGGGAGAGAGAGAGAGAGAGAGAGAGAGAGAGAGAGAGAGAGAGAGAGAGAGAGAGAGAGAGAGAGAGAAAGAAAGAAAGAAAGAGAGAGAGAGAAAGAGAGAGAGAAAGAGAGAGAGAGTGTGTGTGAGAGAGAGAGAGAGAGAGAGAGAGAGAGAGAGAGAGAGAGAGAGAGAGAGAGAGAGAGAGAGAGTGAACGAGAGATAAAATAAGACAACTAAATATCTAATTCTGCTCCAAGGTACCGAAAGACAACACCTGAGAATCATGACCACTTTCTACGCATTTAGGAATTTTCTATTTCTATATTCAGAAACACGAGTCACAAGGCCTTTCGCTTCTCGTTTTGTCGTCAAATTTAATTGCCTTTACCATAGATATATACAGAGAAGAGAGAGAGAGAGAGAGAGAGAGAGAGAGAGAGAGAGAGAGAGAGAGAGAGAGAGAGAGAGAGAGAGAGAGAAAGAAAGAGAGAGAGAGAGAGAGAGAGAAATAGAGAGAGAGAGAGAGAGAGAGAGAGAGAGAGAGAGAGAGAGAGAGAGAGAGAGAGAGAGAGAGAGAGCAGAATAGAGGAAAAGAAGTCTTCACAGTTTTGAAAAGGACAAAAAGAGGGGGACCACTCAGGTCTAAATGCCTCTTAAAAACGATCATTTTGTTAAAAAGGGAAGTAATTTTAAGCTAAGAGAGACAGCTGATTCGTCGATTTTGTTTCTGTCGCTTCGTGGGTGTAATACCAACTCTATACGAGGTCTGAATCTTTTTTTTTATTTGTTTAATTATTGTTATTATTGTTATTATTATTATTATTATCATTATTATTGTTGTTGTTATTGTTGTTGTTGTTGTTTTTGTTGTTGTTTTTGTTAATACTATTATTATTATCATTAATATTATTATTTGTGGAGTCGTAGAATCTATGAAATTGGTTTATATTCACGATCCCTTGACATAGTCCGTCTTTTGACAAAAATAGAAAGATATAGAGAAATGTCCTTAACATCC